ACATCAAGGCGACATTCGCTGCTGGCCTTATCTTCCACATGCTTCAAGAGGAGCCGCGAATTGACGGTATGACAAAGAAAGGCAAAAAGCCAAACATCAACGGTGCTGTCAAGCTGAACGAAGTCTACTTTAACTATCCAGAAAGGCCAGATGTACCCATTCTTCAAGGGCTCAATATCGATGTAAGTGCATTTAGAGTCTTTCTTCTCTCTTCATAGACCTTCAGAGGCGACCTGTGTTCTTTTCAGATTAAACCCGGCGAAACCCTAGCTTTGGTTGGGCCTAGTGGTTGTGGAAAATCAACTGTTATATCGTTACTCGAAAGGCTTTACGATGCGCTGGACGGCTCTGTTGTAAGTATTTTCCGAGACTCATATTACCTGTACAATTCTTATGGGGAGCGTCGCAGCAGCTGCGCTTTAGGATATCATATAGAAACAACCGACGAAAAAGGAATTCTATGCATGTTTAAATGCAGTACGCAGCCACGCGCACCCCATCTCCGGGATAGGGGCTGCCCGCTCTAAACAGGGAAGGGAACGAGCTGGCGCCGCGCCAAGGCGTACAGCAAGGAACGCCTCCACATTACGCACCTATAGTGATTGTATGTTACACACAGACCCGATAGGTTTCCAGTCCAAGAGAACGGGTATCTCATCCCAAATGTAGCCATCGTCCCAGCAAATGAGAAGAATTGTGGAGAGAGCAGAATGGAACGGAGCTAGGTTGCTTGTTTCCACTAAGTGGTACCATTCTGAGTCCAATGGGTAGGGGGCGGTGCTCCAACCACGTCCCATCACAACTTTCCTTTCCACTTTCCACAACTCACCAACTTTCCTCCTTCTTCTGGGAAAATGACTGGCTGAAGCCCCATTACTGTGAACCCGGTGGTCTTTCTTTGGGTCGTAATTGCGGAATTAGTGGTGCCTCGAAATATTCTGTTTATCCCATACCCTACTCGGCCTCTCTAAGCTTCAAGTTCATAAGCTCACTAGACGCTTTTAGCGGACAACTATCAATTTTCCAATCCCCCGCCTCGTACATCGCTGAAGGAACGGTCCGTGTGGGAGGTTAGCGCGGTCCGCGGTTGAGCAACCTTGTGCCAGTTTCATGGCGGAAAGTTGTAAGGTAAAGGAGTTATGACGCAAAGTTGCCTCAGTGACACCTCCCTTTTTCCAGTGACTCCGCCTCCAGACTCCGCCTTCAAAGCCCGCCTTCCAGCCAAAAGCGATGCTACCGCAGAAATAGAAGGGGAGATGCTCAGTAGTTTCTTGCGGAGTCATAGGGCCCACTAGGAAGAATGAACAGCCTGAATGCGCTTTCATACGTGGTCCTTCAGCCTTTCACCCGTACAACTGTCTGAGACTGGAGAGATCCTATTAGAGGCGTTTCCGACGTTCCCTTTGGCATTTTCTCTTTACAGACGAGTCACTTGACAAGTTGTCTTCCTTATTCCGACACCGCTAAATAAGCTACTCATTGTGGACCGTGCCTTTGTGCTCACGGGTCTACTTCAGCAGCTGCTCAAGAAAGGAATCTGGTAATCTTTCTCCTCCTTCCTTCTTTCTTCTTTCTACTTCCTTCTTTCTCTCTTCCCTCCTCCTTATTTACCTCCCTTCAACGGCTCGGCTGGAAGATCCGATGAGAAAATGGACCCTCACAACGAAAGAGCATGACAGAAACCCTGTAACCAATTCACCATATACCAGTCGCGACATCGCACGCCAACTGGGCACTGTTATTGATCGATGCCGCACGCGCGTCCTATCGCGACCACCTTCCCTACGGGTTCTATAAATCTGTACAGGTCACTGAGGTAGTTAGAACAAAGAAATAAAGCCAAATCCTTTCTTTGCAGGAAATTGATGGCAACGATCTACGCGAAGTGAACCCTACTCATCTGCGTGCCCATATAGCATTGGTATCACAAGAACCGATTCTTTTCGACAGATCCATCCATGACAACATCGTCTACGGTCTACCACCAGGATCCGTTAGTGATGCCGAAGTGCATGAAGTCGCACAGCTTGCCAACATTCACAAATTTATCTCGGAACTGCCTGAAGTGAGTTCTGTTTGGCGTTTACGGACCTTTGGATCATTATGGGGCTAAATATCTGCCATTTAAGGGCTACAACACTCGAGCAGGTGAAAAAGGAACTCAACTATCTGGTGGACAGAAACAACGGATAGCCATTGCACGTGCGCTCATCAGGAACCCGAAAATCCTACTTCTTGACGAAGCCACCAGTGCGTTGGATACTGAAAGCGAAAAGGTACGACTAACAGTACTCTCATGGCCAGTAATTAAGCCTTGAAAGCAAAGTACACGCTAATAGCATGGGCGGAGTCCAACTTTTCTATGGCCAGTAATTAAGTCTCGGAAAGCAAAAGTACACGCCATAGCATGGGCGGAGTCGGCCCGCTAGCGCTTCCCTACTCTTGAACTCTACACGCGTAGAGAGCAGAGACCAGCCAGTTAAAGAGGCGCAGTGTTAGAAGTCTCTTCCCCCCCCCCAACTGATCTTAGCAGGGTCCTTTTTTTGCATGTTTCAATGGATACCCTGAATGAGCTTCTTTCAGGGTGTGTTTACTATGGAACAAAACAAGCTCTTTCTAATAGAGAGCGCTCCTTCAGCTCTTCTCCGTTGATTCTGTGTGCGGGGTTGGGCCTGCCATTGTGCTTCTCCCATTCGCTTCACCTTCTAGAGAGCAGGGGCAAGCCAATGAGGGTGACACAATGGTTCGATATCTTCGCCCATGATCTACCCCCCCCCCCCTTAACGATCCCATTTCGGACTATGCTCTCCACTTACTTCGATAGATATCCCGTATACCTTTTTCCCGCACACTTCACGATGTATCTAGACCTTTCTATTCGAGTAGCGCTCCTTCAGGTCTTCCCCGCTGATTCTATGGGCGGAGTCAGGCCTATCATTGTACGCACCTCCTCTTCGCCTTCTTAGGAATAGACGACGCCCTGGTAAGGAAAGAATAACAGTAGGCCCGACTCCGCCCATGAGGCCAGCGTGGTGCGTGGGCTCTAACATCTAATTTCCTCCCTCGTGAGAGGAATTGCTTGGGAATTCTCCTCACAGCGAAGCTCAAGATCCTCGTCGAAACCGCTTTGATCTTAGAAATTGCAAAATTCACTCCCGAGCTTGTTCAGGTGGTACAAGAGGCACTCGACAAGGCATCAGAGGGTCGAACATGTATCATCGTGGCCCACCGGCTTTCGACTGTCGTCAATGCCAACTGCATAATGGTGGTCAAAGGAGGAAAAGTAGTTGAAAAAGGTACAAATCATCCTAAATTTCTGCTATTCGTGGCCTAAAAGGCCTAGCCTGCATACCAAAAGTCAAGTCGATTTGTTCAGGAACTCACAGCGAGTTAATGCAAGCCAAAGGTGCATATTGGGCCCTAACACAGAAACAAACTATGGCCAAGGAATAAGCTCAGTCATTCGCCCTCTCATATGGCTCACACTCTTCATATCAACAAAAACGTTGTGATTCGTAGCTTTCATTGTTAATAGGATAGTTCACATTTGTGTGGGGCGGGGTGTATTACCTAGCAGCACCTCTGACTGGCCCCTTTCGCCCCCACACTTCAGTGCAAACTCTGCCTTTATTACCCTTTGACGAGCATCATGCAGGTAGATGACGCGGGCCGGTCCGTCGCGGTCGACCGCGATGCGACCGCTTGCGTCGTTCCTGCTAGCTTGCGCACTCTGTATTTTGTCATTTTTTCATGTTTTTATGTGATGATCTCGACGTGTGTACTGTTCGAATAACGGGAATAAACTTTGTTACTTTTAACTACAGATGTCGAAAAAAAACTCAAGAAACCTGCGA